GTTCGTCCCAATGGCGTATTAGTGAAGAGTTATGACCGTTTTACTGGATTTTTTACTCGGGACAGGGTATTTCCAAAAACTTTAAAACAAATAATTTTGACCTGAAATTTTGACTATAGATAGATCTATTAGTTATTAGAAAGTCCTGAAAGTTTCAAAGAAAATGAACGTGCCTTTCTTGAAATATTTAATTTCCAATGAACTTGGCAATTTGGTCCTCCTGTAATAAGAGGCTGTTTGTTTTGAAAAATGAATATCTCGAGAAAGGCACGTTGATTTTCTTTGAAACTTTCAGGACTTTCTAATAACTAATAGATCTATCTATATGCAAAATTTCAGGTCAAAATTATTTGTTTTAAGGTTTTTGGAAATACCCTGTCCCGAATAAAAAAAATCCAGTAAAACGGCCATAACTCTTCACTAATACGCCATGGGAACGAACGCTTCCAGGGTTTTCTTAGTCTCACTGAGGCCTACCTGTAGCCAAAAGATGAAGCTGAAAGCTCGGAATCAGTTGGATATGTTCCCTCGTTAGTACTAGATTTCTGAGACTACAACTTTTCGTACAATTTGCGTCTGATCTTATACGATTAGAGGTAGGGTCTTGGTATTTGGTTCTTTGTCCTAAGTATATCACGTAAAAGTGGACAAAAAAACACTTAGTATAAAAGCTAACTGCACCAGCCAGGACGAGGAAGACGGAGTCAGTCTACGATCGTTTACATTGGTATATAATTGTACACCTGCTAAATATGTTCCATATAGGACCATATTTTGCCCTATTACATGGTCCAGTGATACGATCATAAATTTCCGTAGCCGTACCCAGTTCAAAAAAGCAGACGTAAGATCTTATAAGATCAGACAAAATTGTACGGAAAATCGTCGTCTCTGCAATCTTACACAAGACCGTATTATAAGATTCTTGAAAGATTTCACTGTCACATGAGATTTTCTGTAATCTTACAGTTATATCTTATCGCGTGGTAAGATCTTTCAAGAATCTTATAATACAGTCTTGCGTAAGATTGCACAGACGACGACTTTTTGTCTGATTTTACAAGATCATACAAGGTCAGATTCAGAATCTTCTTAGATCTTAGTATCTAATTGTTTGACCTGGGTATACAGGGAAACACGGAGATAGTATACGAAACGTATACTGTCGTAAACGGTCGTATTTTCAACTGCATACGGTCGTGGACGATTGCATTTTATCCTAACTCAATTAATATACGATGTTTTTTCTCGTATACTTCATTCACCTCAAGATTACAGATGAAATTGGTTTAAGAAATAAAATAAAATAAATAATTTATACTCACTGGTGATTGATTTGACGTCATGATATAATCTAAAATAAGAAAAAAATAGAATAAGAAAAAAATCATTTTTACTACTTAGGGTGTAGATGTTCTTGTGACTGTGGGCGAGAGTGTAGATGTAGTGGTGTGGCTATTGGTACTGGAGTGTGGCTGATTTTTTCGCCCACATTCACACCCCCATATTGAGACTTGACAGGACTATTGAGTTTCCGATATGTTTGTCCGAATTTTGTCTTGAAACTACTTCTATTTGAAACTCTCAAACACATCATCCTGTTTGAAGATCTTGTTTCTCTAAGCTATGAATGTTTTAAAATATTCTTGTATTATTGATTACGATTTGGAAAGTGTCCATTTTTGTAAAGTTCAGAGTTTGAGGATACAAAATCTTCAAAGAAGCACTTGAAACCGTCAATTAGAAGTAGTTTCAATACTAAATTCAAAAGCATGACTTTTCTGTAAAAATGAAGCCTTAGCGTGACCTCTAGAGAAATAGACATATCGAAGTTTAATAGTTCTGTCAAATCTCAATAGGAATCATAATCCTTTAAGAGTTTTCACTAAAACACGTTACAGTGTTCACAGGTAAAAATTCATTGAAATTGGAAGAATCGTACCTGGTTAGGTTCTTTTGTTAGTTACAAGTCAGTGAATTTGCTCGAAATATTCTCAGAGACCCTATAGTTTCACCTACACAAATCTTCTTTTAACGAAATTCATATTGCTCAATACATGCTAATCATTTGGATCATTTTTCTTGTTCATGATTATAAATATATTTTTTTTTTGGTTTTCTTTAAGAAGACGATAGGACTACAAAAGGGAAAAAGAAGACAAGAATCTAGCTAATTCAAGAAACAAATAGCACATATATATGTTATATTATATGATATTATATTATATTGTTCAGCGTACAGACAAAAACAAAAGTTTCTTTAATATGACGAAGGTAATAGCGTTGTTCTTGAATTTATTTTACCCATCCGTCCTTTTCATTGATAACCAATCTTTTTTGATGCAACGATATCAAGTGCTTTTGAATACAACTGTTGTTCACGTAGACGTATGCAATATTCTAATTGAATTCCAGTTTCGATCGATCTCACTGAAACAGTTACTTTGGCAATTATTGATCTATCATTATCTGTATTGAATTCATCAATAAAATGAATTCTAACACTAATTATACGAACACCAGCCTGTAATACATCACGAATTGGTAAACTACTATGAAAAAATGTTGGTAATAATGATGGATATATATTTAATAAACGACCACGCCATATCATTATCAATGAAGGTGATAAACGACATACATAACGATCAAGTATAACCAATTCATAATTATGTCATTGTAATTCACCATCAATATTTTGATTCTTAGAAAAAAACAAAAAAGTTTTATTCACTTGTTTTTTGAACAAAATTAAAACAAGAAGATTGTTTACCTGATCTAAAAGTTGTGCAGCATATTTTTGCGATTAAATAACTTTTATAACAACTGGTAGATATAATTCATTAACGCGCGCTATATCTGATAGATTAGCTAATGTTGAAAGAACAATAACAATGCCAAATGCGCATTCAAGTATTGATGTACCATAAGCAAGAAGTGAAAGTAATGAAGTATCTAAAACAAAGAGCAATTAATCCATAGATTATGATAAGAACGTTGAATTTAACGTCAAGATGATTTTGGTAATGAACAACATTGAACCTGAAGTGTAGGAACATATATAAGATTATTTGCACAACCAACATTTAATTCATGACCAAGATATGCAAATAGAGTTTAACTATCATTTCATATCACTATCATTCAAATTAAATAACTAGGAGGAAAAAACAAAACCTATTAGCACAATCCTGGGGAAATTAAAATGTGAAACACGATGTTGCTAATCATCGAGAGATGATTTTGAGACATATTTCTTCAAAGTCATGTTTCTCCTGAAATGCAATGAGAAAGTAGTCTATATATTATAATAAGGTTTTATTGATATAAAGCCTTTGATCGTATTATATGAATAAGGTCTGTCGCGAGAGCATGATGAAAGTATTGCTAACAAGAAAATCTCCTTAGGTATCATCCTTTCGATTTCAGTGACCTTTTACCAATAGATACTAAATAGTGTTCTAATAAAAATTCAAAAAAGATTTTGGGTTTCTGTTAAGATTATGAGTAAGATATATATCTAATTTCTAGAGGCTGGGCTTTCGACAATTCGTCTTCTCAAAATTCTAAATAAAACTTTGCGAATAAAGGGAACTCCACCAGGCCAGGTTTTATAAAAAAAACTCACGAGTTTTGAACAAAGCCTCTAGGAGATATACATCTTTCAAAAATACACATCAACCACGGAAAATGCTTTATATTTTGCAAGTCTCATAAGTCGAAGAGACTTTTTTTCAAAACTTCTGAATTCTTTTATAGGAGCTAACCTATTTGAGGTCTTTGTAAATGCAAAGTTTCCGATCAAAATCGAAAATGCCAGTTTTCCAAAAACCCGAGTCTAGAAAATAGACCTATTAAAGATTCGATAGCTTAGTCAAATCTTAATAGAAAGCTAAATTCTTTTAAATTTTTTATCAGAACACTATGTAGTATCAATAGACAAAAGCCATTGAAACTTGAACGGGCATCTGAGGCGACAGCCTCGTAAGATGTCGTCACACCTTTGATGTATTCTAGCTAATGATGGAATGTATTCAACTGAATGGTCGCTTTTTTTAACGAAAGTTACTGCATTCGAAGTTATCGATCATGCTGATTTCGAATCTGACTATGAAAAACACCCTTAGGTCATCGTATGCTGATTTTCTCTTTTCGCTAAACATTCTTTTTGATTTGTCCCAATTCTAGTGCATACCGCATTGTATGTAAAGCAGGAATTTTTTTCTATTTTAAATTATTTTTTAACAGAAAATATAGTCATTTTAATTAGTACATTAGATATATATTATCATTTCAATGTGAAGATCTTCAAAGCAACATTATTTTATGCGAAACTCATTTTTGGTACACAGAATGGAAGATTAAAATCAATTTTAGCAAAACCTCTATTAGCCTAGAAAATCAGTTTTCTAGAAAACCAGCATAAAAAGATTTCAGGAGATTTCTCGTGGACATATTCTGGATCACCACGATCGCTAATGCATAATTCATTAACGTTTGGTAAAAAATCGATTCATCAGTTGAAAACGTTTCTTCGTAAGATGTTTGTGAGGATGCAAATTTTTGTCCTATATACTTCAACATTTCTTTTAGATTGTGTTTCACAAAACGAACAAAACAAATGTTGTAAATTTCTTACAGTAGCTAATGAATTTAAATTAATCGTTGATGAAATCGGAACAGGTTGTACAGGGTTGGAAATAATATTATTCCAGGGGGGTAACGCTACAATTCTGAATACCAACCCTAATAAATTTTATACCAAATGAAAGCCCGTAAAAAATGGGATTTCCTGATGCCAAATTGTAAGGGTTCTGACATATTTTTTTCTAACAAACTTTCAAAAGTCATGATAATTCACTCATATGAAGTATGCGAAAACCGGTATATCAGGTGAAAGTCGACCTAA